TGGCTTTATGTTGAGACTTATTACAATCTTTTTGTTATATGACTTTTGATTGTGTGTGTAGTTTCTGTACGCTTCCATCCATTATTTCCACCACAGCCTGCAAAAGATGAATGCCATTTGTAATTATATTGCTCAATAGAAGCATTATTATGCATTAATTTCCATGGGGTTCTCTAATGTATATGACTCATATGTTTGGCCTTTTTCCCCTTCGGTGATGGAATATTACTGACCACCGTTACTCCCAATACTTCTTGGCGAGGTCGTGCCAACAAAACAAATAATTTAGTCTTGGTAATAATCGGCCCTTTGATTAACTTAGTGAAAGTTTTAGGGGATTTGTTCTTTCTTCTTATCACAAAGAAATCTCACTAAGCAACAAAGGGGGATATCTAGATCTTATTGCTAGTTAATTAATTGCTAGTTGCTACTCTCTTACTTTGCATACTCCACCATCCCATGTAAGTCCATGTACTTTACCAAAAACATCACTTATTCCAAAGTATTAGTACGTGGAAAAATTTAGAATCTTTCACAAAATAATAATATACTATATATGTTGCAAAATTCCAATCGATCGTCTTTTTTTTAGAGTTAAATGGTCATCTCCTACATTGATGAGTAATATCTAATCGAATTAAGACAAATTGGGATCATAAAATATAGGAGTCCAAAATGTTTGTTGCAAAAAAATGTAATTTCAGTTATAACATAATCAGAACTAAAATATGCCTTGTATATATAGGGATGGTTTCAATATATATGAACTTAGAACATATTCAAAAGAGTTTCATTTCATATATCCACAATTACTTGTCCAATTATGGAAGGAATTTGACTCGAATTAATTATTTAACGTAATACACCGACTCAAACAATAATAATTTAGATAGTGGACTGAATTTTCTTACTATAAGTGCCTAACATATGCTTCATATAACGTATCTCTAAACTTCAAATCCAAACTACAAAAATGACCTAAAAAATGCCTTGTCCCCTTTTCACCCTTAATCGTTTATTCATTTATGAATTATGACACTATAGCAACCAATCTTTCTTTATAGAGGCGAAGCTTTTAAACCCACCCTTTAGGAACCATTTAATCCGCAACCACTCGTCATAAGAGATACAAAGTGGACTATCATTGGACTGTCATACTAGGCCGTAAATTGCATCGGGCCCCCAGCTATTCAATCCCAACTCCAGGCCCAATTTTAACTCTTCAGCCCGCTAATGTAGACGAAAAAATATTGAAGAAAAAGGAACACAAATTTGGTTTTGCCCCCAAATTTATTGAATCAGTAAAATCATCATCGCTCGCAATTACAAACTACAGTTTGATCACTGTGAAATCAAACTACTACAATTCAATACTTAAAAGTAAAAACCCTTGCCAACTGTCTGTCTCCCCCCCAACTCAAAAGCAATCAATCCAAGAAATTGATCAAAATCCCTAATCCCCCAAATTTCCCCCGTCGGCAGTTCAATCAAAGTCATCACGGCAGCGAGTTGGCCGCCGGCGCCGGCAGCGGAATCAGAGCGACAGAGCCCCTGGACGAGCTGGAATACTTGTGGAACACAGTCTTCAATTTCCCATCCTTAACCTTCCCCATCAATTCCACCAAAACCCTCCCGCAATCGCCGACTTCCTTCTCCGTATACCCAGTGTGAAACTCCAGGACATCGGTCCAGGCGGGAGCCCGATTCATCATCCTCCTCGCCGTGTAAACCGCCGCCGCGGCAGCCATCGATGGCGGAAACATTACAGAGCACTCATAGTCCATCAGGCCGAGCTCCGACAAGTAGTTGGCCATGTGCTCCACCTCCCCATCGAGCGCCGGAGCTGTGGGCGTGGTCTTCGCGGTACCAGCCTTGGCGAATCGGGCGAGAAAGACGAACTGGGTCGGGACTGTTAGGGTCCACTCGAGATGGGCGAGGATGGTCTTTTCCATGGCTAGAATCTGTTGACCGCAGTAGGCTCTGTCGGAGATTGTGACCAGTTCGTTGACCTCCGGCGGCCAGATCTCTTCGTACTTGGATGCCAATAGAGTGGCGCTGATTCCGACGAGCTGTAGTTCCTTCCTCGGCACGGTTTTCACGGAGAGAAAACGGTCGATTACGCTGATTGTGAGGTAAAGAGTTTCTCTGGAGAGATCGAACTTCTGGTGGACGTCGATAAGCCAGTCGATGAGGATGGATCGCATCCTTGTGTTGATCTCCGGCTGTGAATCCATGTAGTAAATCGGCCGGCTTTCATTCTGCATCAAGAAAACCAGAATTGGGCTTGAATAAGTTGCGTTGGATTGGAATTTCGTGAAACCTGAGGGGGAAAAAGATTTTGTCTTTTACCTCAACGAGCTTGTAGAATTTGTAGATGTCCTCGACGTATTCGACGGCGGCGAGATGGTTACCGGCGTCTGAGGCATCGATGTTAAACACTTCCTTCTCTTTTGGCTTGCAAGCTATCTGGAAATAAACATACAGAGAGCGAGTGAGAAACAAACAGAGCAGCAATTTGTGAGAAAGGGGAAAGAAGGAGTGGGGGAAATTAGGGACCTTGCTCGAGGTAGTGAGGATGGATGTGAGGGTCTGAAGTTTCTTGTTCTTCTTCGACCTTTCTTGACACTTTTTCTTGTTACTCTTGACTTCCGAATCAGGGCTAAGGACGATTACTTCGTCACTGGTGACTGCCGGCTTCGGCTTAGGTTTGGGTAAGGCGGCGGCGGCGGCTGTGGGTCTCTTGGTCGCAACAAGGGCTTTCTTCGCCGGCTTGTGATCGACATTGACACAGATTTGCTGCTGGTATTTTCAAAATCGAAGCAAAACCCAAGATTCAGATTGAGTACGATTCAAAACTAGAAACCATAAACCGTTCAATGAATTGGAGAAGAAAAAGATCGGAACCTTGTTGTTATCCGCGGCGGCGGCGGCTTGGGCGTTGGCCAGAAGTTGAGCGCGGAAGCTCCTTGTGAGAGGGCGAGTGATTTGCTTTCCTGGGATTTCAGGGACGATGCCTGCCGCCAGATTCCCGATGTCGCCTAGAGCTCGCCGGCTCTTGTTCTCCCCTCCGGCGGCCATTGTTTTTTTCTGCGGTTCAGGATGGTGCTGCTTGTTCAAACCCCCTGTCGGAAAAAATAAAATCCAGAGAATCTCATCAGAAAGAAAAAAGAATAACGAAATCGGGAGCCCCAATCGAATATATTTGAAATCAAGCAAACTTAACCAAGCAATCAAGATGAGAAAACCCAGAAACAGAGAGAGGCGATTTGGGGGGGAAAGGGGGAAACTGGAAAGAGTGAAGAAATTCTACCTCGAACTTGCTGTGGAACAACGGGTCTGGACGCCATTTCTTCGCTCTTCTTCTACTTCTACTCTCAAGAACTCTGTTTTCTCTCTCTGATTCCTCTCTGCCAATCTCAGAGTGTGAGATAAAGGGGACAGACGGAGATTTGGGGAATGGTGGCTTGCTTGCCTTATGAAAGGACTTGATTACAACGGTCGAATTCGCTATAGACTTGCGGCCGTTGGATGACTTTCTCGATCCGACGGCAGAGATTTTATAGCTGTTGTGGTGGGAGAAACTGAACCCGAAATGGAAAAAGGAATTTAAAAAGGTAAAAAAACGGAGCGTGGGAGCGGTGGCTTTTGTAAAATTAATGGGCCGGGTGGAATTGGGTTCAGATGGGCTTTATTTCGTTTACGAGGCTAGCAGGCCTAATTAACTGGAATCAATTGGCCCGGACTTTGACTAGGGCTCGTGCCACTATTGCTGTTGATTCGATTGACTAGGCCCTTGTATGGCCACAACAACAACAAAAAAAGATTGACTAGGCCCATACTTTTCTAGTATCAGCAACCCAACTTCTCTAATGAGTAATCATTAGTCCCATTCTCAACCTATTTCTGTTTAAATTATAAATAATTGGCCAATGTCTATTTTTTACCCAAACCTTTTTCAGATTCTTTTATTTTAACCAAATTTATAGAAATTCTATTTATTATCCAAACATATTATAATTTATCAAAGTCTGGACATTCATTCTGTTACCGTTACTAATTTCATACACGTGAGGGGTGGAATTTTGTTTTGTTTTTTGATAATCTTTTTATTAAAAATAGTAAATGATGGTATTCTGACCGCCACGTAGGAAGTCAACTAATTATGGTCATACTTAGTCAGCATTACTAACAGAAAAGTTGACGGAGAGTTAACGTTTGGATAATTTTTAGGAATTCAATAGGTTTGGTTAAAATAAAAGAATCTGAAAAAGGTTTGGATAAAAAATAGACATTGCCCTAAATAATTTTACTCGAATCATTTTGGATTTTATTTTCAATACTTCAGCGATAAAATTATAAATATGTGAAAATCTCAATTTCTCAAATAAGTTAACTATATTTATCATCATCTTATTGTTTGTTTCTTATTTTGTTAATGAAAAAAATGAATATTTCTATTATTTTCCTTTTAAATTATACGCATCTATGGGTCGATCTATCCCAGCTCACGCTCTATGATAAAATAAAAAAAATCCAATCTACCATGAGACAAACATAAATATTGAGATACCCGTCCTAACATGCCATCCTCACTCCTAATGATGAACTCGATAAGTACCTAACGGTCCGGTTTCGTTGATTGGGAAAATTAAGTAATTGGTTAACTAGGCACTACATCTCAAACCGTAGCATGCAACAAAATATATTACAGCAAAGCATAAACATCACTAGAAATATATTGAAGCAGGTCCCATTTTCGGTCAAACAGACTTTCACAAACCCAAACTTTTACAGCCCGAATTATCCAAAGATTTTTTTTTTAAAAAAAAAGAGTACATACACAACAACGTGAAGTATACACTTCTATACTTCACCTGATCTCATCACACGACCAACAAAGTAGACTTCTGTTATTATGCATAATAATTAATCAGTACAACATACTCGAATAATAATCCTTAAAAAACACTTGATTTAGACGGCCGGGCACCCCTTTAATTTTAGGAAGGACACTTGAACCCAGGGGGAGGAGTCTTGCCACAGTCAACGAGGACCTCGAGAGCAATGGGGAGGACGATGTTCAAGTTGAGCAGCTTCAACTTGATGGTGGTGCAGAGGCACAGCGCAGCGTCGAGGTCCACGAGCCCTTCGAGAACCGGGCAGCAGGTCGACTTGGCACTCTCCCCGATCCCCACGTGGATCAGCCCGCCCAGCAGGTCCACGCACGCCCCCAGCTTGAGAGTGTCGATGGGGCAAGTCTCCGGCTTCGGCGGCGGGTAGGATGGCACTGGCGGCGGCGGCGGAGGGCAAGGCGGCTCCTTGGGTGGCGTTGGTGGCTTGACCGGTGGCTTGGGCGGCTCGACCGGTGGCGGCTTCGGCGTGACCGGGGGAGGGTACACAATTGGTGGGTTGGGAACCACGGGCGGCATGGGGATTGGTGGGTGGACAATGGGTGGCGTGGGTTCAACCGGTGGTTTGGGGATCGGTGGTGGGTAGACTATTGGTGGCTTGGGCACGACCGGCGGCTTGGGAATCGGCGGCGGGTGCACCACCGGCGGCTTAGGCACAATGGGCGGTTCGGCGGAGAAGCAAACGAAAATCGGTATGTCGGCGAAATCAAATCCCTAATAAAGCTGCTGCGGCTACATACCTCGCTTTCCTGGACCTGCTCGTAGAAGCGGCGGTACTTCTCCACTCCCTCTTTGTCTTTAGGCCACAAGACTTTGGGCTCCAAAATCACCTGACTCCACTCCTCCTCTCCGTCTTCCTTGCTTTCGCCGGAATCATCGTCTGCGACCTCGACGTCGGTGCTTTTGTCGCCGGCGGCTTCCTCGATCTTCTGCCTCTTCGACGCTGATCCAATTTCAGATACGGGAGACGATTCGTCGCTCGCGAGTGGGAGACTCACATCCGGTTGAGGATCCTAGCCGAAGCTTGAGATCGTGAGATTGGAATCCATGACTGGGAAAGTAGCTCGAGGAAACCCTGGAGAGGGAGGAACACGAAGGGAATTGGGGATTCAATTTGTGTTCGCAATTGGGAATTTTTCCTTCGATCCTTTCTCATCATTGCTCTGGGTACTCCAGAAGACAAAATAAGTGCCCATTTTTGTATTTTATTAAATTATTAATATGATAAATTATATAGACAAAATAAGTGTAATGATGAGGTGGAAAGAAATTTTTTTTTTTTAAATTTTTTTAATTTCCACGTCATCTATTTAACGGTCAAACTTTATAGTTGACTGCCACGTAGGACAAACTTAACGGAGTGTAACGGCCGGTGACCAAACGTGAAACGATTCGTAAAGTTAGTGGCGAATAAGAAAGAAAAGTAATTCGGGTGGCAAACGTGAAAGATTTGTATAATTTGAGTGACCAAACGTGTAATTTAGCCCTTCCATATCCACAACTATTAGGTTTGTGACAAATATATCCATATCTATCGAAATACACGAAATACCCATTTCCGTCCACTCCGTTAACGGTGTCAGTTAACAGAGTGACTGGACTAACAGAGAATGCTTAGTTGGCGATATTTGTCCCCACGAATCCACGTGGATTAAAAAAATATTAAACATAAAAGACTAATAATTGTGACATTGGTACATCTCGTCGATCCTCTTCTTCATAAGCTTGAAGTCGTCGGCCGACAAGGGCTTCGTTTGACAGAGGAAGATTCTCGGTCTCGTTGGTGTACATCTTGAACTTGTAGGGCGAGTTCTCGATTCTATCTCCCATAAGAATCTCCCCGAGATTCTCAGCGCTATCCTTGACCCCCTCCGTGGGCCTGCAGAAGGGCAAGCTGTAGTAGCTGAATGGCATCTCGGTTTCAATTGAAGTGATGGAGTTCACTTTCACCGACAGAGTGTCGCCGATGCCGTACTTGTGAGGGTAGCTTCCGGGGAGATAAAACCCATCTCCCGATTGCAGAATCAGCAAAAGGGCGAAACCCCAGATCTTCAAACGAGCGAAAGAATCCATCTTTTTCCCGATTTCAATGCGATGCGCGTCAGATCTGGGAGACCCAGATCGTGAAACGACTGGAAGAATTAAAACAGAGGGTAAGAAAAAAGAGCGGCGGCCTTGGCTCTAAGCGAGAGATCTAAGGTAATTGACAGAAAGGAATGATTCAATGCGCGGAATTAGAAGCAGGGGAAGGTGCGAACAAATGGAGATCAAGAGGATTAGAGAGTTAGTTACCTGAGGTGGGAGAGATTCAGTTGCGAAGCAGAGAGGAAGGTACTGAACAAATGGAGATAAAGACCGTCCTTTCTTTCTCTCGTTTTCTTTCCTTTCCCTCGCTCAGCGAGAAAGGAGAGTGCCGACGGATCTCTCTCTGCTTTGAATGGATTTACCAGAGTACCCATTCGATGACGGAGGGCGGAGGGGGTGGGTGGGTTTGGAATGGCGGTGGAAGAGGGAGGAGGGGCGGAGATGGGAGGAAGTTGAGGGGGTGGGTGGAATGGTCGTGGAAGAGGGAGGAGGGGTGGAGGTGGGTGGAATGGCTCTGGAAGAAGGATGAGGGGCGGAGGTGGGAGGAAGGGGAAGGGTCTGCGGTAGAGAAGCAATTTTTTTATTATTTTTCATTAATTTTTTATTAGTAAATATTTATAATTAAATATGACGTGTCACTTGGTGCTGACTTGTCGATGATGTGTGCGCTGAAATGGCGTCCTAATCAGCGTATTGCTAACAGATCTGACGGCGTCACTAACACCGTTATAGTTTCAGATGGAAGTGGATAGATTTGTCACACAACCTTCCGATTTTTGGATATTTCGTGTATTTCGATAGTTGTGGATATATTTGTCACAAACGTGATAGTTGTGGATATACAACTGTATTTTGCCTAAAATTTATGATATGTTTTATCCAATTCCCACAAACATAACATTTCTATTGTCACATGATATGTCTTATGTTATTTGTGGCGTATTGAGTTTGTTGTAAGCTTTATAACTTCTCACATGTTTTATGAAATTTTTTTATATACTTTGTAACTTTTGTCATGTACTATTATAGTATGTTTTTTAACTTTATGAATTTTTCTTTTTTGTGGTGCGGTTGTGATTCGTGGTCCCCAATTAACTTACACTAATCAGTTGGGGAGACTTGTGCATGGAATGATTGACATTTGGTTGCTTTGAGAGTTTTTTTTTTGTATACACTGAAACCAATTATGTGATGAAAGGATGAGAGAGGGAGGATTATGTCATGAAATGTAGTCACTTTCCAGGAACTCCCATTAAGGTAATAATTGATAACTTCCATTCGAAATCAATCGGGGTTGGAAAACCTCTCAATTTTGCTTGAGTGATGGTGGAGTAAACCCCGAGGTTTGGAACGAGTGTCGCTAACTTGTGCCATGTATGATCTTGAACCAAGGTAAGCACTTTCGCTAAAAATTTAATGTAAAATTAGAAGAGAGAGAGAGAAACGTAACCAATGGTGTGCCTCCACGTGGGAAGGGTGCAAGGCGACCTTGCAAACTTTTGTTTGCTTGTAGGATTTTAGAGAAATGAAGATTTTTTATAAAACCCTGGATTTCAAAATTGAAGCATTATGTTGGATTTTTCTATTTTGAATGTATGTTGAATTTTTAAATGATTTGTTTGCTTGTTGGATTTCAAAATGAATTTTAATATATTGGATTTAAGGAAGAAATTTGCTTTTCTTTGCTTAATAAAATAATTTTATTTCTTTTAGATAGAATACTTTTGATCATCACATGGTATTGTCTACATCTTCTCCCAAAATGAGTTTTATGCAAATGGTCACAACAACCTTTCCCTCCCTTTAAGTCATTAGTTAGTTAAACAATATTCACATGGTATTGTCTATGTCTTTTTTCAAGATCTTTAATGACGATAATAAATATGGGGAGAGAATTTCTTGGTATAGAGTTTCTTACTTTCTTTATGTGCGAGTGAAGTTGTAAATATCAAATTCAGTCAGAAATAATTTGACCCTTCGGACAACGCGTGAGTAGCAACCTGATTTAAATTGGAAACGAGTTTTACCTGCTTCTATAATTGACGGGTTGTGAATTTTTTGTTAAAAACTCAATTCGCTCTTCGTCTCACCCGCACCTAAAAAAAACATACACAATGTGTAGACAGTACCAATCGTTTGGGTTTTGAGGATGTCTTTCCGACATAGTAACTTATGGTTTAGTGCCCATAACTAGAAAGCTTTGGGTTTTGAGTTTTGACTTTGGTGTTTGCGCAAAGTAGAATGTGGTTGATAATCGTAGACCATGTGGCTTTGATTTCTTAGGCTCATCAGAGTCTTTTTCTTCTTGCCCTTTTAATTAGGTCTGTCGCGAGCTCACTTCTAGAGGCTGATCAATAGTGGCTTTTTTTTGGTAATGATTGGCCAAAACTGATGGCTTCTAACAACTTCCAAGCTTGACTGAAATTGCCCAAAACGACCTAATTAGCAACAATGAGTTTGATTAGTTGGCCAAAGTTCCATTTTCAGCAACCATTAAACAATATGGTCGATGAAACATGCTTTATGGCAACCATAAAGTTAAGAAGTCGTTGAAACTCTGATCTACAACTTGAAAGTGCAACTATAAGCAAGATGGTCTCTACCGTAACAAATGGTCGTTTTTACTTTTTACTAGTATAGTTAAGCGACCATTCTCATGAGTCATGGTTGTGAAAATGATTGCATAGTTGTTGCCAACAAAGGAAAATTGTGTGTCATTGTTTTTTCATGGAGCGACCATCTCTTAGAAATAGTCGCCAAATTTACTCTTACGACAACCATCTTTCCGATCGGAAACTATACAAATTAGAAATACTAGGTGGAAATGTCGCGCCTTGTCGCGGAACGCACATGAGTCATGACCTATAGGTATGTATTATGTGGCTAGTTATGGTGTTTTGTTAATATTATTAGTCTAAAATTAATTTTTTGTTAGCAGTTTTGTTAGTAATATTGATTTGACAATATAATATGATTTAGAAGAGATATACGGTGGTCAACATCCAATTTTTTTTTTTTTTTAAATTTTGGCTAGTAAATGATATTTACCTAAACCCAAGTAGACCCATTGATTATGGGTAGGGTATGGATGACATATATATGGGTTTAAAAGTTTGAATTTCTTTTGCTTTTCTCTTGAGTTTTTCTTTTTTACCCGGGCTATAATTTTTGACAAATATACATGGAATGTTTAGCTAGATATCTACACATATCAAACCTCATAGTGGAAAATGAAGAATTTCTAATAATTAATATCATATATATTTATTTTTAATTGGGCTCGACATTGAGTTGAAAAAAGTTAGTGGTTCATAGTTCAATTATAGTTCTCTAGATTGTTTGTGAGTCGTGTATGGACCCGTTCATACTTGTGGTTAGAATACATAATTCTTCAATAATTTTATATTAAAATTAAATTTGGGGTAGCAAAATGTAAAATTTATATTATAGTATATTAATTAGGGTTAGACGAAGAAGGCAAAGAAAGAAATAAAGAAAGGGTTATTTAATATTTTACGTAATGAGCAAATATAAAATGTTCGAATATTCAATTTATGGTTGAGTGATATTGAGTGATGTGA